TTAATCATCTGTACACCAGGGGAGAGTGGTTTGATCAATACTGAAACTATAACCTTCACTGAGGCAACGTATCTAATAAGTACATCTTGAATAAAATTCCTTCATGCACTGACTCATTTTTCTTAAAACATGAAACCAATAAGCATTAGAATCCTTTTGGAGTGAGGGTGATCTCAGCAACACTTCTGACTGGTCTAACCAAAGTGTACCCATCTATACATCCACAGATAGGCAATAAGCACATCTAATACATTATTAACAGAGAGTAAAAATAATAATGGATCAAGAATTAAACTTTCATGAGCAATATGAAGGTCTGGTGTTGTGGCTATAAAAGAAAAAAACAAACCCAAACCCCATATTTATCCAAATTAACACAGAAAGTTAGAGATTTCCTTCTCAAGCAAATACCTAGGGTGAAAAAAATCAGGAGACATTTCAAGATTTTTCACTGTGAGAGTAAATGCAGTAAAGAGTGCTGAATAGTTATGATTTTTACAAAATAATATTAATTGAAACATTCTAAGAAAAGCATTAGATCTAAAAAGTGTGATAAGCACAAAGATCTCTTTTGATTCATTCTACCTTTTGCATTTTTCTTCTATTCTTAATGGCTGAACAGGGTGTCAAGGTGGATTAAAAGACTGGCAGGAAGAAACATTGTGTATCCAGATGAACTTTACAAATGTATAGGTAAATTGTTCTCCAAGTTATCTATCCAGTAGTCAGAGGATTTAACTTATTGATTTACTTACTGTGGGGCCTGCAACTTACTCTAATAAACTCTAATAAACATTTTGATGCACCTCTTATGTAATGAGCAGGGAAACATTTTGATGCACCTCTTATGTAATGAGCAGGGGAAAAGAGAGAAGTGTAAAGGTTGAAAGTTAGACATCTGCAAATCAGAAATCCAATAAAGCTGTGAGGTTTTTAAGCAACCCCCTTATTTTCACACCTTTGTAAAACTATTTCAGCTAATGCAGATTGCTTTGGTGGGACTGATGTAGTACAGGCAGCTCTGAATTTGCTCTGTATTTTTTAAAGGAATAAGTAGAAGAAAAGAGATAAGCAAGAAGTAATGCTTCTCCTAATTCAAGAAAAGCATTTGGTATTTTGTTTAATTGTATCAGTGATGCAGTTTAGAAATACTGCTTTTGGTACATTTTATTACAAAGCTCATTACTTTTGTCAAACCTCTGGCACCAACCATCAACCAGCTATTTCCAAGGGCTTACCAAGAAATCCACTGCTGGGAATAATGACTTTGGCACAACTGTGGTTCTTATTTCTGTCTGATCACCCTGTGTATTGAGCAAGGACAGGTAAATTGCTATTTTGACAGCAAAACAGCAGAAATTGAGGCCTGTGTCTTAAATGAAACAATGAAAATGTTGGTTGAACTGAATAGTAAATTGTGGTGATTTATCTGCTTCTATATTAACAGCTAAGACAAGGCAGGAAAATAGTGTAGAGTGGACAAACAATGAAAGGAATCACTATGACTTCCTGAAAAAGAAAGCTGTTCATAGTCATAGTCAGTGCCTTTAGGGAATGGGGATAAAGACTTTGCCCTCACACCACCTCAGGCAACTCAGATTTACTATTCAAACCAAAACAGTTTTATGCCAGAGAAAATAATATCCAGAGAATGTGTGAGGAAGGGGGTGGGGGGGAAAGTACTATTGTGGTTAAAAGAAGATATCCTTTTACAAAAGTATGATGGATAAAAGTGGACTTGAAATCCAAATTTCAAGTTTACCATTTCAGAGAAATGCATGTATCAGAACCATATTACTTCAATGTCTTATTTTATTGAAATTCTTATTATGTAGTTTTCAAATTTTATGCTGTTTGGGAAAGGGGTGAACAGAGATTTTAAAAAGACACTCAGAGAATATGTAAAAAATAAGATGACTACTTCAAGCATCTTAGAACTCCTTGGGTGGGTGATTTCTCTTATGAGACAAATGCCACTAGGCAATTTGTGCTCCAGTTCTTCAAACATTTATATTCATGATTTAAACATTTATATTCATCCCTCTGCAGTAGTTGTTAAATGTCCAGTTGACCCAAACCAGTTTTTTAACGCTCTCTTGAGAAGGAGCATGGCTCAGTGCACAGGTGGGAGATACCCAGACAGCAACACAAGTCAGCTGCAACTCATGAGCAATTCAGATCAGTTTTAATCATGGAATAGTTTGGGACAAGCAGGACATCTTCACCTACTTCAGGTTGTTCAGAGTACTGTCCAACCTGACCCTGGATGTTTCCAGGCATGAGGCATCTACCACCTGGGAAATATGTTCCAGTATTTTGCATCCCTCATTGTAAAAAAAATTTTTCCTTATAAGTAATCTAAGTCCTGTGGCTATGTTAAAGAGGTCATGCTGCAATAACAGATGCTGCTAAAACTGATCAACCAGGAAGGGCAGGCACTCTCACTGGTTCTTTCAGGGAAACAGACACATGCCATGGCTCACAGGCCTAGGAAAAGCAGGGCTTTCTATGGTAAGGACAACTGAATTGAGCCATGTTTATTATGTAAGAAAGAAAAGTAGAAAGTAAAAAATTAAATGGAGAGAAAAAAATAAAGTGGTGGCCAAAATTACTTTATTTTTAAATATTTGAGCTAAAACTAGTACTAAAGTAGAAAACTAAGTGTCAGAAGATGATTATCCTGACAGTACCCCATCTAGCAGGGTTTTCAAACCCATGATTAACTTCAGTGTCTTGTATTGTGAAGAGCTTGGCTTGTGAGTTGAGGTTAATAAGTGCAGTAAGAATTGCAATGCCCTAACTGCTCCTGTTTTCTCAGCAAACAGATGATAAAGAGTAATTATCATTCACTGATAACTGAGCGTCTCTCTTTTTAGATCTTATATTCTCCATAAACTGATTTTGTACTTAGAATAGAATTTTCAAAAAATCAGTCTGTCAACATAATATGGTCTTGTTATTGCAATACTTTAGCTTGTAAACAACTTTTCTACTTTTTCCCTATTTTAGATTGACTGAGTTATGTAAGTAATGTCACATTTATGATTAACAGTGAGCTATTTACCCAGGGACTTAACCTCTGTTGGAAAGCTACAGACACTTAAAATTCAAAATCACTTTTGGAAAGCTACAGAAACTCCTATGTCTTTTAAAAGTGGGACTGAAGTAATTTACCGACTGTAATACAATGCAGGCAAGAAAAAAAAACCAAAATAATATCACCTGTAAGCCATTATTTCAGTGTTTACTGAACAGGTATAATTTACTATCTAGAAACAGAAAATCCTGATATCTGGGGATTGAATTTCATTTTGACCTTATCAAGGGCAAATGTCACTCAGAAGTTGGAAGAATGCAACAGGAGGAGAGGATGAAGATTTTCAATAACTGCCAGCAGCATGTGCACTACAGGAGGATCAGGGTCCTGACCAAGTGTTCACTGTATATTCAATTCTCAGCAGTTTTGAGAATACTTAGACCATGTTTCTCTCCTCCACTTGAGGAATGAACTAAATGCCCTCTACTCCTTTAGAAGGGTAAGAATGTGGAAAAATATATTCATTTACACTCAAAAAGTATACTTTTTCTTTCTTTTTTTCATCCACAAGTTCAAAAACTTCTTTTTCTTTCAATTGCCTTTTTAAACCTTTAAAGCTTGGCAAAGAGATCAATGCACTTAAAAAAACCACTAAAATGTTAAATCTGCTGTTTCAAAGAGGGCCATTTTGATTCTGATTAGAATTTCTTTAAATGCAAGTCCAAAAGCTGTGGAAAATTAGTCAACATTATTCACTGGCAGAAAGCAGTTGGAGAACCCTCATTCTCAGCATCACAACCTTCTTAATTTATTTCAATCATGGTATTTAATAAGACATCCCAAAACATCTGCTTGAAACTTGCCCTCCTCATTTTGCAAAATCTGCATGCCTGAATACATAGCAGCCATGCATTAAACACGATCAAAAGGCCATTCCAAAGATGTATGCTTTCACCAAAAAAATATTAGGGAGGAATAAAAGTACATTCCCCACCCACTCCGAATCTCTCCTCAATAAAGGGCTAGCATTTAATCTCAGTTTACTCTTGGATCTGAACATTCCTAAACAGTGCAGTTCCACACAATATAGAAGAGTTGCTTAGAATAGAGTCTGATTACAGTAACGATCTCCTTTATTGTAAAACAGTCCTTTGCTCACAGAGATTTAACCCTGTGTGTGCCAGCTATTCCACTGTCTGATGACCTATGAGCCAGCCTGTTCACCTTGTAGGTGTTCTCCTTCCTTCCTCCCTTTCTCCCTCCCAAAGCTGTGCTACTGTGAAGAATGAAAGGAACAGTGATACCAAACACTAATTTATGGGGGATAATTTTTCTGCCTTTTATCCAATGACAAGATGATGTGAAAGACTGAAATACAATTTTGGCAATGGGCTCAATGCTTCTTTAAGCCAAATTCCCTGACTACTGGGTTATAGAAGCAGATATATTTTTAGTCCATTTTTATGGCCTAATACATCATTGATTACCTTCTGCAAAGAAGGTATTTGAGCATATGATCTAATCTCTAGGATTTTCTCTAAAAAAGAATGGCATCAACATGTTATCAGTGTAAAAGAAAGGTATGAGCTTTACTTCATTATTTTCAAGAGCAAAGTACACATAGTCCCTTTCAAGGAAAGGTTTCTGATGCTTCTGATCCTTAGCTATCATTGCCTTAGAAAGCCAGAATTTGACATGCAACACTGTCAAAATGCCATACAACCTTAATCCTAATGCTCCCACTTCCCTATCCCTCTACTGCACTCCTCTTCCCCCCACAAATATACGGGGCCCCAGGCAGCAAATTCCTTATTCTTAGAGCCAGGTGGCCATAAATTTGGCATTGCTGTAGCTGGTGCAGCTCAAGTCTCATTCACATTGTAGGGTGACATGGCAGTAACAGTCAGGTATAAACTGACACACATATATGCATAAGACTTCTGAAAAGGTTTCCATGGCTCACCTTTACTCAGTTCACCCATCTTCAGTCATCTCTGTTCAGGTTTACAGATGATACTTCCAGAACCATGTAAATCCTGAGATTAAGAAGCAGCAGTTTCTGTCTTTGTCCATTATTACTGCATTATTTTACAGTATAAAAATCAGAGCCTGGCTTTATTAGATTCTCTCCTTAGCCTCTCACCCCTCTTTCAGAGGGGGAATGAGAGAGGAAAAGACAGTAATTAAAAAAACAAACCCTAGAAATCAAAAGTGTAAGATTTCCCACTGTTAACTTCATGAATTTAGATTTTGCCAAGTAGAAAAATACATATTGAAACACAGCCAACATTTGTAATCTTAACTCTTGTTCTAACTGAATTTTGCTTTGAGGTTCTAACTGCAGGTATTTGGGGTTTTTTCCCCTCACCAGTTTAAGACTATATGCTTGTTGCATCAGACCAACTTTGCTAAGCTTCTGAGTTCCATTACACACACACACAGAAAAATACAGTATCACCTCATAAAACACTTCCAAGCTTCATCATCTGAGTAAAGATATGACAAGGCTGTTTATCAGAAGGTAATAAGACAGATAATTTAACTGTACAAGCTCTAATTGGTCTAATTCACTAACTGACCTCTCACCACTTGATTCACTAGTACAATTGAGCTCTGATAAAGCCTTTAATTGTAAATTGCACACAGCTGTGAGCTGCTTCTCACGCTGGCACAAAAACACTATCATCGACTGTTTCATCTCTGCGACCTGCTAATTTGGAGCATATGTAACTGTTTTTAATGCTGAAGGCTTGACATACCACAAACAGCAGATGTTGCAGCTGCCCCTGAGACGCTTTATTTAATTCAATTACGTCTTTTGGAGATATGTAAAAAAGCTAAGCGAGATGAGAGAGGGCAGGAGAATGTTAAAAATGGAGCCCCTGGTTGAGGCCCAGGTGGCTCGATAGGCAAATGATTGGGTGAATGTCTAAATGATCTTTTTAATTGAGTAGACTGACGGCTAATCAGGGTCATGAAGTGTTATCACACTGATGAGCTGAGTGGAGCCCTGGGCTGCTCTGCAATTAATGCTGCTTTTGTGAAAGGAGAAAAAAGGAAGATAATGTATACCATCTGGCAATTGTTTATGATAAAAGCAGCAGTTTGCTACAAATTCAAGTTAAATGCTATTCATAACATTATTTCTTCTGCTGCTGTGGAGGGCAAGGACATAGAGCCCAGGCCTTTGTCTGACTTTCTCATTCTCTTTCAACAAGCAAAATATTCATTTGCTTCCACGTGTGTTATTATTAATTACTTGCCTGCTTGCTAATGTATGGCCCAAATGATGCTCTCTTTGAAATGCCATGAATAAGTCCAGCAATTTAGATTTTGGATGTTTCATGCCAAAGCATCCAATGAGATAAAAACTAAGCTAAGGTCTCAACTTGTAGCTAAAAGCCAGAGAAAACAAGTCAGTTGTTTTGTCAGTGGTGGGTACCCATCCCCCTGCCCCCTTCCCCTGCCCTGTTTCATTTTAAGGAGATTGAATCTTTGAAAGACACACTTAAAGGTTCAGAAAAAAAAAGCATGGTTTTGATAAGGAGGGGCAAACTGGAGTTGATGAGCCTCTATGTGAAGGAGTTTCACTAGGCCTAAAAGGTTTGTCCTTACAAAAGAAAAAAAATATTTCACCAGCTAGTCAGGGGTGTTTTGGGGACTCGGCTTTCCAGCAAGGTAAGGAGAGGTAGACAGGTACTGGGGATAGCATAACACTAAGCTAAAAGCTACCATTCCTGTAAGTAGAATATTATTCTACTGCTAGGTAGAAGGACATGAAAAGTGGGGAAAAAAAATAATCCTGCCAATTCCTCTTAGGTTTTAAACCAGTTGTGAGCTGGAAATAACACTGCTGGGGCCCTCCTTAAAGAGGACACCCAGCAGTCAAGTTAGGGAAAATTTAACAATATATAGTGTCACTTCTGACAAGGAGATGAAGCCTTGGCTTAAAACTTAGATATTAAGAGCTTATTTATTGCTTACAGATTAGTTCTGAAAATCAGGTCGTTCCAATTCCTGGCTGTGTCATGAATATATCGCACATCCTTAAGAAGTCACTTAACTTTTATATGCTTTGTCTAACAGAGAATCTAACCCAGTATTTTTTAAACCAACACTCTAGTCAAAGTTTATCCAAATTAACCAATATCTGTTTTGACTCCATCTTAAAACTGAAAAGGCTTGAAACAGAGACTGTCCCTCTGCCAGAAAAGTTGAAAAGAACTGGAATTTGTAATGTTTCTTTAATTCTAGGGATGCTGGAAGCATGTTTTAGGTATCAGTTCTTAAATTGTGTTTTATACCTTTTTACCTTGTGGCATTGTGTATATTTTCAAAGCAAGATATTGCTGGACAGTACTCCAGTAAAAGGAGGAATAGCCTCAAAAGCAAAGCATTAGCCTCAGGCTTAGATCTTGAGATTTTTTTGTTTTGACCTCTTGTTAGTTTTTTAGTTCTATGGACAACAGAAGAATGCACCATTACCTGTGATCATGTGGTATTTTCTGTCCTTACTAACCACTGTGTACTGAGGATGAAATATTAGTGATGTTTACAGAGACCATGTGTTTGCAACAGAGAGTTGAGGACTGGTATCACGGTGCAGTCCCTAGCACAGGTGAGCCATCTTGGTCCAGCAGCAGGCTGACACAGCCACACTGATCTGAGATTCTGCTTAGTCCATGCTGCTTTCTATGTCCTATGCTCCACTCTACCTGTAGATATGCAGAAGACCTCCATGAGCCATCCATTAAACTCCAAATTATAAATTTGAGTTGATATGGTTCTACAATACCTCATGAAATAAAGGCACATCAAATGTTGATCTGTCCCCAGGCTCAGCTCATGGATTTAAAGATCCTAATGATGAATAGTGGGTCAGTGCATCTATTGCTCACTGATCAGAAATCTTTGCCTTGTTAAACAGGTACGTACTGTCTTGGAAAAAAAAATGTTTCAGTTTCAAGAAACAAGTGTATTATGAGAAAAACATTCTTAAGAAAATTCCCACCTGTATCTTGTCAACAAGCAGGCTACTGTATCATCATGGTAGTGAGAGATACAAAAGGGTTCTTTCGCTGCACAACTCAGGGAGAATGCTACCCTATTTTATGTTTTAATAAGGGCAGGAAAAAAAAGCGCTAAGGAAAAATGCTGTGATAAGAGTACATTGTGAGTTGTGCTGGGAAGAAGTGCCTGCTGAGGGTGTTTTGAATATACAGGAAGTTATCAGATATTGTAGCAGGCAACAGCTCTTGCTAAAACTATGGAGTTAGACAGAAATGTTGCTACTAACACCATGCTTTAGAAGACTGCTTAAAATAATACTCAGGATAGTCTTTTTTGGCACTTTGAAATCATGGCATTAAGCTCTGAATTATGGATGAATGCTGTTTATTTTAGTTTAATAAAGGTATCCCACTCTTTCTCTCAGAATAGTATTAGACACAATAAAAAAGAAACATTCTTTCCAAGATTTAATATGCTATTTGAGTTCTCTTCTGTGATCACAGTTTCCTATTCTTTCTGATTTTTTAGCTACAGACTAATGTAAAATCTTCACACATAAAAAAGAATTTGTAGTGACACTTCTACTTATTTCTGGAACAGTTTAGGACTCCTATATTTTATATACTTATAATGAGACAGCATATGAATTCTATTGTTTTAATTTCATTATGGTGTCACAGATTTTTTTTCAGGATGACTGAGACTACATGAATAACTGAACTTTCATTTTGATGACTGGACCTAAAAACAATATAATTTTAGTGAAATAGGTAATTAGTTTCAGCTCAAAAAAAGAAAGGAAACAAAGTAACTCTATGTTGGCAGTCTGAGAAATCCTCTGGAAGTGTAAACCTGAATTAAAGGCCCTGAATCCAGGAATATTTGAATACTTTGTAGGACTACTCCAACAGAAGAGATTAAGGGAGAACTATCTAAAAATAAACTCTCCCAAATATTTGGTTCACCGTCCCATCTCCATGCAAATAAAGAGAAAGAAGAAATCCTCCTTCCTTCATCTCAGCTCTATGACAAATATTTGGACTATTGGACCCTAAAAACTTTTATCATAAAAAAAAATAATATACTTCCTCTTACTAGAAACAATATGACATTGTTATCTTAAAAGTGAGCTTAAGACATTGCTCTGCCATATAGACTCACTTTTGCCATGCTACAAGTATGTCTCTTGGAGAGGAATGCAAAAATCTCATTTGGGCAATTGAATCACCATGCATTTTATCAATAAAATTAAGAATAGAGATTTACATGAATTTAGCATTTCATTGAAACATCAATAACCATTCAAGTAGCTCCTAAACTCCTTTCTTGGAAGGAAAGTACCTTAAACTTTTATGAAAATCACAGGTTGGCACAATGACTTACAGACTCTTTGAAGTAAAATGGATCTGAAAAATAGTTCTGCTTTGCCTTCAGTTCAGAATTCAATATAAAGTCCATTTCTCCTCCTTCCACAGAATTCCCCTACTTTACATATGGCTGGGGGAGAGACTAGGCTATAATTTAAAACTCATTTTTTTATGAACACATTTTATGTGTTCATAAAACCCACCGTTGCTGCCCAAGGACAGGAGAAAAAAAAATCTTCTGGGAAGTATCGTTCTTTCAGTTCCAGTGTTGCCAACAGCCACATGATCTTCCTGAGCAGTGATTTAGCCAGAATTTGAATCCTGAAACTACTCCTGCATTAGGCTATAGGCAGTGTCAGAGCATTACAAGAGCAAGGCATTTCAACTCCATCATAATTTTACCCAGGGGACTGAATTCCAGAGGCACAGCAATACATGTGTGAAAACCTGCTAAATGCAATATCTTCCCTAGATAAAAGCACAGGCAGAGAAAACATATGGAAAGCTTACACTGCTATTCCTCTGAACATAATAAGATTTTTGCTATGTTTTCTTCCAAATTTACCTAGAAATGCGAGCATTCAATAAGAACATTATGCTAAATGATGAGGAAATCTTTATGCAAAGTGTTTTTATTCATCTAACTTCTGTGAATAGTATTTTGGAAATGCTTCTGTCACTCTGCTTAGTGTAAGCACCTAACTTTAGCCTACCCTAGGCTTCTAACCAGGACATTATTCAGAACAACTACATTAGATTGCATGAATATTTCCCATGGGGTCAAAATCCAAAAGACAACTTTAAAAAATGCTGGTTGCTAAGACTGCATGTTCATCAAATGAATTTAAATTAGGTGGAGTAAGGAATATTATGCTTTGCAATGCAGTGTACAATCCTAAAATAAATCCGTGAATGAAAATATCCAAACACAAACACAGGTTGATATAACTCAGAACATCCTAATTGCTCTTGGAGTGTCATAAAGAACATATAAACTGTGTCATCCTGACAAAAACCACCCCTGGATCCTGGAGTTTTCTACTGAGTTTAAGTTTATGCTAAAATAAAAAGGAACTGTTTTCAAGGGCACAACAGTTAGATGTCTAACTCCAGGCAAAGTCAACACCTGAGACAATATATTATACTAAAATCTTGGAAAGATTTCCAAAACCTCTAAAAAGAGATAGGCAGAATTC